AAGAAAGAAAATATATCACAGTATAAGTGAAAACGAACATATGGATGGTTTTATGATTATTAGTAGCGACAAACATATAATTAGATTCATTAGTTACCCATTCGAACTTGCAACAATTTTCTATGCTTTTCCAAACCACATAAAGAAAGTATCATGAAATGATTTTTTGTATGGCCAAAGTATAGACCACGTTGTTCTTAGTCATGATTTAGAAACATTAGGTAATAAGCTAAATGTGATAATAGTTATCGTCTTAAGTTCAGTGATTGTAAATTCAAGTGGTGTAACTTTTTTTTTGTTTGTTTCTTTTATAGATGCGTAACTTTTTAGTGTAACATGATAAATACTGAAGCAAGTTTAATTGGTAGATGTTGTGTGGGAAAATGTGATGGACACCTGGACCAACGGCGCCATGACACGTGGCTATACTTGCTTTCCGCCGAGCACCCAACCCTCGACGCTTCGTTTCCCTCACGATCAGCTATAGAGCCCGAAGATGAAGTCCATGATTAGGGCGACGATCCCATGAGACGTCGATGGTTGATTCCGTCTGGGCCGACACGACAAAATCTCTCGACTGCAGAAGAGATCACTAGAAGGGGCGAGAAAGGTTAAACAACCACTGACGACGAGGGGAACGTCCTTTTTCGACATAATAGGTTACATACAAAGATAAGAGAAGTCTGACAGCATTTATTGCAAGTTTACAAACCGTCCCCCCTAGGGGACAGAAAAGCATTACGGAGAGTCACAGAGCCGTAATAGAAGACTAATTGGTTGAATGAACAGTACTGATTAGTGGGCTATGTCTGGGCCTAGAGCACTTGAGTGTTCCTACCTACGAAGGAAACCCACCCAGCGAAGGAAGTCCGAGTATAAAAAAAGAAAGACTCCAATAGGGAAAGGCGAGAAAAATTCAAAAGGAAAAAGAACGAGGGAAAGAGGAAAGAGAACGAGGGAAAGAGAGAGATAGTATTCATTGTAAACTATGATCTCTACAAAAGAAATATAATATATACAGTGGATGTAGCTCTAATTTTATAGAGTGAACCACTATAAAATTCTTCTTGTTCATTTACATACAGTTCGTTCAAACATAAAAATACTTAAATCAAACTAGAATCCACACTTTCATTAAACCCACAAGCCGGTAATCATAAGAATAACCTCAAGGTATTCCGGCGGGTTTATTGTTGACGAAATTCAACCGTCAACAGTAGATTATATTTTAATAGACGATTTGCATGAATATTATACGAACATATAAATAATATTGTCATAACGATGAAAAAAAATGTTATATATATTTGCCCGATTGATACGATGGCAAAGACATTTCCTGTGATATGTGTAAATAAGTTTGAAATTGTGTTAATTTAATTACATGAATATGATTTTCATGCCTGGTAATGGTTCGTTGAGATTGAGCATAGTTTCAAAGAGAGGTACGTGACTAATTATATAAGTAATACCACGGTGATAATTTAAAGTGGAATTTGTCAAAAATGGGGAGAAAGACGTTAAACTATAATCTTTGGTTGACACATTTCTAATTCAAAGAATTTGGACCCTGACACATAGGTCTATCAATCATGTTTAATTGTTTATTGAAATTTGAAAGGAAAATTGCTTCTTCCTCTTTTCCTATAGATACGTCGTTGTTAAAATAAGGAATAAAAGGGACATGGTTTTAATACTTAGAATTATATATATAACTATGATACACAAACGACATTTTCCCAAGAAGGAAATTATTATGTCTTTGACAATGAGTACACATCTTGTTCTTACGCGAGACAATTGGATGAAATCTGGGCATCTGCAGAAGGGATAATGTATTTAAATTAAATAAACTGCAAAATTTCAGCCCAAAAAAGAAAAAAAAAAGTGAAAAAAATATGCTTACTGTAAAACGGAAAGGAACCTTATGAATACTTCTGTATTCAACATGTTTGAAGAATTGTTCCATCTTTAAAGAAACACATGTGTTTGTATTTGTTGTCCATTTCATCTCACATTCTTATTATCTACGTAAACATATATACATATGATCAGATATATGTATGTGCAGTCAATGCTATGCTCACCTCATATTCTTATTATACGTACATACATGTCTGTATGTTTATCATATAAATGAACATGTATCTTTATCATATAAATTCATTTACAACTAGTAAAAACTTTTTCACGTAAATATTCTTTTTACGACTAGCAAAAAGATCTTTTTCACGTAAATAAATTTTTTTTTATTGTGTAAGTTATTTTTTACCAATCGTAAATGAAATATTTACATGATACATTATTATTTACTTAAAATAAATTTAAAATATGATGTTTACTTAATTAAGTTTCAAAAATCTGCTATTTACTACAATTTCAATTTTTTAGTTAATTAAGTTTCAAAAATCTGCTCTTGTTTTTTTTTGTAGTAACATGTTAACCGATGAATGAGCCCGAACCCACTTGACTTTCTTCTTCTTCAACTATAAATTCTTAATTCCAGGTTTTATAATATCCTAGATAATGATTCGATTAATAAAATTTACAATTAGGTACACTAACTATACGTCCATTCGAGCTTTACATTTTTTTTTTTTTTCAAACTTTTTCTGGGCTTTTCCACAACCAGAGGTCCAAGATTACAAAAGTGCCAGCCCAAATATCATTTTGTTCTCAATTTTTATATTTGGATACATCGCGCAACACAACCAGTGTGTAGCGCACATCGATCCAATAGCGTGTGAAATTCACCTAGGTTCTTCTTTTACTACATATCTTTTATGAGAAATGCTAACACCTCTTTGTTACTCTCTTTATCACTCTCAACATTCATAGTTTAATACGCAAACTCCATAAAAAATGAGATAACGTAGTCCACATATCAAACAGTAAATACAAAGAGCGATAAAGAGAGTAACATAAAGAGTGATGCTAACACTTCTCATCTTCTATTTCAACTGACATAATTAACAGGAATAACATTCTTATCCAGAGTATTGCGGCTCGATACTTTTATTTTCTGTATACATATATTTTATATTACAATATAATGATGTTCTTGGGGCAACGTTTTGGTTTATTTTTTAGTTCCCGGATTGAATTTTTAGGAATTTAGTTTTGTATTATTATAGTTTGGATTTCGTTTTGAGATTTTGGTTTGTTATTAGGGACTTTCTCCGGTACGTCAATATACTGGTAGGTCATATTTTATGTCCGTTGGATTTGTATAAAATTACATAAACATTAAAAAGTACACAGATCTAACGATTAAAAAAACTTAGTCTACTGATACGCCAAGCATATATGAAAATCTCCCGAGTTTAAATTTGATTTTAAGATATTGGTTTGTTTTTACGAGAATGTAGTGAATATGTTGATAAAATTTACGTCCAATTTAATGACTTTTACTTTGGTGATTATGAGAAGCATATACACCCTATCTAGGAATGATAATTATACCCTTTACCTACCCTTGACTCTAATGGGTGTGGTTAAACCCAACCCGTTCTAGATATTCCCATGTTCGTGTTTTGTTCAATTTTAGATGTCTCTGCCCTGCGACCCACCCGTTTTCATAACAGAAGTTGTATTAAATGTATTTTTTTTGGAAAAAAAATTCTATTAAGTCTATTACGTTATTATAATCTTATATGTGTTATTTTAATTGATACATATATTTTTAGAAAAAGAGATAAATAGGTCAAGACTTGAGATGAATTAAAATTAATAGGCCAATAGTTTACATAAGTTAATAAATATGTCAAATTACTGTTTTCGTCCATAACTTGTCTGGTTATGAACCATAACTTGACAAGTTATTCTCGATTTTTGTCCATAACTTGTCTGGTTATGAATCATAACTTGACAAGTTTATCCATAACTTATCTGGTTATGAACCATAACTTGACAAATTATGGCCTATTAATTTCTATAACTAAAAGTTGGTCTATATACTTTCTTAAGCTTTTCATATTTGCCTATTTCCTACTATTTCCTTATATTTTTATCAGTAGAATTAAGATTTTTTTTAAAAGAAATTTATCATTCTTGCATAAATATTAAACTTTTTGAACCGTTTAATTTTTTCAAAAGAAATATATAATTCTCTTAAGTTGTTAGGTAGTAAAAAAAATTTAGTAGAATGGCTTAAATGAATGTTTTCAATCAAACTGTGTTTCAGTTCAATATTATATGTGTATAGACGCATATAATATATTTGAGTAATAAAGATTTTATTGGAAAAATTACCTAGATAGAAAATTATATAGAGATTACATGAGGAACTAATAGTTAAGGGTGTCACAATAGCTAAAAATGAAAAAAAAAAAAAAAGTTTAATTAGGGACACATGAATAAGAGCAGAATAGAGAAAAAGTATTTATGAGATGACAACTGAGAAGGTTGTGTGAAAAAAAAAATCTTTAATAAGGATACATTGAGAACAAATATAGTAACAAGTCATTTATAAAGGTTTTCTTATTTGATATACTTTTGATATGATAAAAGCAATATGAAATTAGATATAGTAGAGACATTTAATTTTGGTTAATTACGAGGGGAACAAATATGAAAAAAGTTAAAGAACTATAGGCATTTAAAGGGAAAAAATCAAAACTTCAAGGGTCAACAAAAAATTTCTCAAAATTCCTTATATATATATAGGTTAAATTGAATGGAGGAGCCTCCAAAAACAATTAAATGATTAACCAACAAGTTATCCTATGTAACGCATATCTATCCAAATTTAAAAAAAAAAAAAATGAAATTGCGCAATTGAATAATATTACCACAAGGCAATTCTTTAGGAGTGTCCGAGGGATGATGCTGTCCTTTCTTTCCTCACACTCACTACAAACTCAAACATAAACGTCCAAACAAACAACTCTCCTTAAACCTCAACAAATCCATTTAAAAAAAAAAAGACAAAAAACAAAAAACAAAAAACAAAAAAACCCTCTCACTTTCTCTCACATAAACTCTTTTAGAGAGAAACAAAAATGGGCATTTGTGCTTCGTCTGAAACTCAAAGCAAAAGATCAAGGAGAGATGAAAGAAGACCATCATCATCATCAATCACGGATCGAATCAGACGGGTGCCAAGAAGCAGCAGCAAAGTGATCCACGCCGTCGATGGGCGACTTCAGGAGTACAAGCCTCCGATCCAAGCCAAGCACGTAACCTCAAAGTACCAGAGCTGTTTCCTCAGCAGCTCCGAATCCATGTCGATCGGCACGTGCGTCCCACGTGTCCCCGACGATGAAGATCTCCAACCGGGCCAAATCTACTTCCTTTTTCCAGAATCTCAGGCCCAAAAGCCCCTCTCTTTACCTGACCTCTGCTCTCTCGCCATCAAGGCTAGCTCGGCTCTTTCCAAATCCGGCGTTGACTTTTCCTCTAACACCCCCAAGTTGACCACTCCCCGGTGAGCCTTCTCGGCCGTTCATCGAAGTTTATTATTTTTTTATGATTGATTTTTTTTTTTCCCAATCTTTTCTTGATGTGCAATAACCATTAACCACGTTGAATGGTAAAAAAAAAAAGTCAACCTTTAGAATGATAAGAGAGATCTTTTTTTTTTTTTAATTGATGTTGAAATGTGTACATATGGTCTTGTTTATTTCAATGATTCGAGTTTTTAATTTTAATTTTATTATAGTTAAAAATTATCATAAAATATCATATTTAATTTTTTCTGCTACAATAAAAAACTCTTAAATAAAATTACATTTTAATTCGAATTGAAAATTAAAATCCGCAAACTGAGTGACACTTATGATAGGCCTATTATAGGGTCTTGTTAACACTAATTTATTTTGTGCACGCATGCTTTTTTATTTATGTTGTTGGTAGTTTGACTATGCTACATCATCACTAGACATTTGGTGAAGTATTTTTCAAAAGGAGAAAAATCAGGCTTCTGTTTTGTAAAGGTGAATATGGTTTTTGATATAGTATAAGGTAAGTGTAAATGTGTACATTAATTCTTGGAATTGAAGGGGCAAGGGCAGATTCGACTCATTTTTACTGTGAATGCAGCTGGGACCCACCTAGTAGTGCCCAATCCTTGAGGGAAGTCTTGAGGAATAGTACTATATTGGTGTGGTATCAAATTGTTAATTAATAACCCGTAGAAAAATATATTGTCTATTGTTTGGAGAGAATTTCTACCATAGAATTCGTCATTTTTAACTACTAGTAGGAGCTGCTAATTTTAATCATTAAATTAAATTTTTAATGACTAAATCTGTGAGTTGAGCGGTTTTATATCATGTAAATTTTTAATTTAACATTTACATATTAAACTGTTAAAAATTTAATCGAGTAATTAAAATAACAGTTCTTATCACATGACAAGTTACTTTTTATTTTCATGATGAAAGGGAATTTCCTTTCGTTTTGAGAGAAAACGACAAGTAAAACGGAGTGTGGCGTTTGCTTCCTAGGTAGTTTTTACAAGGTGGTAGTTTTTTCAAAACCAAAATGTAGTTACTGTTTTGGTCGTTAAGGTAAACGACATGTCGATGTCAGGTCAACGACATAAACTATATGTGATTTTAGATATTCTTGATTTCCGGTGAACGATATCGTCTAATAAATTAGATATGATTTTACATATTCTTAAGTGAAACAAAATACCACTCCAGAAGGTAAAAAAATATTATTTAAATCACTCAATTCAAAAGTTAACAAATGTATACTCAAGATGATAAAAAAAATATTATTTAAATCACTCAACTTAAAAGTTAACAAATTGTCATTTGATTAGTAAAAAAAAAACAAAAGACTACAACAACACTTAATTATTTAAAATAGTATAAATAATAAACCTGTATAAAATCACGAGAAATCATGTCCATCTCTCTATTCTCTGACTTCTTAATATCATTATGGTATCCTATGTTTTAAGTACTCTGTGTTCAAAAAAATCCTATTGAAGTATCTTGTTACTTAAGAAAACATCATTATATCTCAAAACACGGATAAGAGTACCTAAATGATATTTTCAAAATAACAAAAAACCTTAAAGGGATTTCCCAACTTGCAGCATACAAATTGGAAAAAAATAAAAAATAAAAACTAAAGTTACCCAGATGATACCCTTCTAAAACATGTCGTCTAAAATTTAGGCAAATCACATGTTTTCAAACAATAAGTCTTCAGATTAAGACAAAAGCAATATATTAATTCATCTCTTTTTTTCTTTTTTTGGCTGAAACAAATAGTTTATTCATTTATTGCAATGAAAAGATATACCATTATGTTTATCATAGAAAACGACACATAAAATTACGGCACAAGGCATATAGTTTTACTCACATTAATGCGAAAACGACTGGGGATAAAATTACATTTTGTTTTGGCTGAAGGAAATGACGTGATCATTTAAAACAAAAAAGAAAAGAAAAGAAAGAAGAAAAAAATAAAATAAAATGACATGTTATACTTATAGTTGAGCCGCGTATTCTAGGGCCCGTTCACTTCGCCGATTCGAGTTTAGAATTCGAGTTTTGTTACAGTAAAAAGCTCTCAGAAACAGTCACATCTAACTTTTTTGCTATTCTTATAGTACATCCTTTTGTAAATTTATAACACTCATTTATCTTTTTCACCGATTAGTTGAGCCGCGTATTATAAATGTAAATAATAGCTTTGTAAGTTTGATATGTATTAAAACATGTGAATTCCTTATAATTCAAACTCATTAATTAAGCAAGAGGAAAAAAGTATTTAAAAATATCACTTAAGTAAGGCCATATTTAAAAGGTATTTTAATTCAAAAAGGTGAGAAAAGAACAATATTTTAAAGAAGAATACTGTAAAAGAAATAAACTGCTAAAGAATATTAGAGGGAAAGGCAAAAAAGACAATATGTAAAAGAAGAGAAGAAAAACTAAAAATAATAATAAAGAAAAATAGGAAAATTTAAAAAAAGAAAAAAATAATTAAAGTTATCTAGGACATATCTGAAAGAAATTATTTTAAGTAAATGAAAGTAAAAAAAAAGTCTTTCAAAAAAGGATATGTAAAAAAAAAAATAACTACCAAAGAATATTATTGGAAAAAACAAAACAAAAAAAAAAGATAATACGCAAAAGAAAAAAAGATAAATAAAAAAATAAAAAGAGAAAAAGAAGAAAGTTTAAAAAATGAAGAAGAATGATGAGAACACATAACCTTAATAGGAATTAAATATTTCAAAAAAATGTTGTAAAAAAGTTAAAATGCTTAGGAGTGCATAGTACTTTAGAAAAAACTAAAAGGAAAATTTCATGGAGAAAAAAAAAAACAAAAGGCAAATGAAAAAAAAAGTAAAATTTGAAAAAAAAAAAAAAAGGCCAAATAAAGATAAAGAAAAAGTAAGAAAGAAAAAAAAGAGATATAGATATAAATTAAAGGTGTATGTATAGATATAGATTAACGATGCTAAAACACAAATTATCTAAGTACCTATAAGGAAAACGCTAATTATTTAAGTTCTTTTTTGGTGGGCATAATTATTAAGTTCATAATTTCGAGCAAAAAATTATTCAAGTTCATAAAAGCACATCTCTGGCACTGCAAAAGCAAAAATGCACTGCCATTAGGTGTCGTTTCTTTGAGTGTTTATTGGGCCTTTCTCTGCACCTTAAGGAAAATAAGCCCATGAAATAATCGGTCTGGATAACTTTTTTTTTTTTTTTTTTGGATTTTCAAAACTGTCACGTAACACAATTTTATTTTTACTACTCTTATTAAATTTATTTTATGTTATTAATAATTTATAGATTATTTTTTCATAATTTATAGATTATCTTTTATAATTTATAAGTTTTTTTCATAAATTATAAATTATCTCTGTAATCTGTAAGTTATTACTTCGTATTTTGTAAATTTTTTTTCATAATGATATTAAAACTTTCTATAATGACTTAAATAATTGAGTTAGAAAAAAAAAAAAATTTTCTCTTTATTTTTTAGTAAGGGCCTTCAATTTTCAGAGTAGTAGTAACTTCTAAGAATCAAAGGTGGAAGGGTAGTCTGTTTAACAAAGTGAATTTGCACACTAGAGGATTATAAATTCTCCTTGTGTTTAGCAAAAATAAAAATAAAAAAATAAAGAAAGAAAGAAAGGTTTTTATATGCAGAAGTTGGTGTCACGACTGTATGATTACAATTATTCAAATTCATAAACTTTGGTATAAAGTATATCACGTTGAAACTATGGATTGATTTTACAACTGTTATTACACAACTCAAAACCAAACACAAGAATGAGCAAAAGAGTACTTGGCATTTCACTACCCTACTAGGTTATATAATATAACTACCAAGTGAAAAACTAGACTAGATTGTATTTGAGAGCAATAAAAAAAAGGATTATTATCACTTGTGTCTTCTAAATTTTGGGATCACTCCTACTTTATCCGTTAAATTTTAAAAATTCTCACTTTACTACCCTAAACTTTTACGAACTTCTACTTTGCCCCTTCTGTCCAAATTTCCGTTTAAAAATGACGGAAAATGTCTCATGTGACTCAGGAGCATGGTATTTAAGGGTAAAATTATAATTGAATTTTTAATGATTTTGCATCATGCCCCCTAAATTTTGGCTCACCCCCAATTTACTCCCTGAATTTTAGAGTCGTCCCCACATTACCCCATGAACTTTTTCATAGCTCCTACCGTACTACCCAAACTTTACATCTTTCTCACTTAGCTCCCTCTACTTGATTACGATTGGTACCCACTTGCTCGCCTCTGTAGTAATCCTATCACTAAATACGATTCTTCTTTTTTTCTCTATTTTTTTAAACATGGTTTGATGTCCTTTTCATCATTTTTGTTTTCTATTTGAATTATTTTCATTGATTTGCTTCGTAGTAAGACATAGCAATACTTAGATTTTACGAAAATATCGATTAAAGTTGACCTAAAATATACAAATTCATCCTAGAACACTTTAACGACTTTTCGTTGATATCTCCAAAAAATTTCCGCAAACAATTTCGTCATTTTTAAAATGAGAGAAATTCAAAATTGAAGTAGAATGGAGGGAACAATAAAAAAGTTCAGGGGGCAAAGTCGAGGCAACCTCAAAGTTCAAGAGGGCAAAGTGGGGGCGACTCCAAGGTTCAGGGGATAACGTGGGGGTGACTCCAAAGTTTAGGGGGTATAAGTGTAAAATAGTAAAAATTCAATTATGATTTTACCCTCAAATACCATGCATGTGAGTACAAGTGAGACGTTTTCTGTCTCTTTTAAATATAAATTTGGATGGAAGGGCTAACGTGGAAGTTCATGAAATTTAAGGTAGTAAAGTGAGAATTTTCAAAGTTCAAGGGGTAAAGTGAGGGTGACCTTAAAGTGTAAGGGGTATAGGTGATAATAATCCTAAAAAAATGAGAAAAATAAACAAGTTGACACAAAATTTATAATGGTTCATTCTCGACCTAAATTTCACATACACTTATCTCAGTAGATTTTCATTATAATCGGATAAAGCCTATTACGTTTTTCAGGCCCCTTTATTTTAGATTATATTAGTAAAGTGCTAGCGCCCCTATAGGGTAAGGCTCTTCTGCTATACGAGGTACACTCAATTCTAAAATGCTTCTCTATTTCTATTTTCACAACAAAATGAATGTCCAAAAACTCCCTTGTATAGCATGGAAAAACCTGCATAGTGCGGTTAATTAGGCTATACACTACTCGTAGTACATTGGGTCCTCTCATCTGGAAAAAGAAAAAAAAATACAGTAAAGTTAGAGACACGATTACAAACATTTTTTTAACACAAGTGACAAAGAACGAGGAATAGACGGTGGAACACGAGAATAAGAAGCAAGTTCCTCTTCCTTTTTTGATCATTTTGATGGAGGAGGATGGAAGAAAAATGGACGAAACATGTTTTTATTTCTCATCCAACAAAAAAGAGTCCTCTTGAAAACGTTCCCCTTCCTTCTTAGATTTGAACCCGCATAGAGTGAGTCGCCCATATAGGTTAATTAGTTGGTGAGCCATATTCATACGATGGGCAACCATCTCTTGCAGCTCGGATCCATAGAATAATTAAGCTACACAACTCAACACTTAAATGGCGTCACGATTGCTCAATAACTATATGTTAAAAGAACTTAAATGTTAAAATAGACCTAGCATAAGGTCAACGAGCTAGGTTACATATACATGTCATGTTGGCCATTAACTTTAGTCTTTATTGTCTTCTCTTTACAGTACTACACTTCACTATTCTGAAGTCTTAAACATCCCTCTCTCTCTCTCTCTCTCTCTCTATATATATATATATATCTAACTCTCTTTTTTCCTTGAAAGTCTTGAACATTTATATCTGTTGCATTCAGAAATTGTATGGAGACCAAGCGTGTATGCAATTACGCCAAACTTACATAAATGCACCTCACATGGGCTGACTACCCCTCTCACTGATCGAAGTCAACATTGTCACGTGCGTTGCCCTGTAGAAATCCACTCTTTGGTTGTTTTCAGTCTCAGGCTCTACACAAAATTTTTCTTTATGGTATGGGAAACTACTAATCTCTCCTTAAATAGCAATAAAATATACCTAAACCCATCATGCACCGAAAAAACCCATATCACAGGAAAAAAAAAAAAAAGAACAAAAAAAAAGAAGCAAGGAATTATTTATATAATGACCATTTTGCCCTTGTTAAACAGAGTTATATTCAAGACAAATATCTATATATTACGTTACAAAATAACATGCTGCAATATATTACCATTTTCATGTACTAAAATTTCGCCCCTCATGCGTATTACAACATACACGTTGTTACTATTGAAAAACTAGGATCCTATTTTTCCATGTGGTATATGTCCTTCAGCTTGAGATAGACATAATTATTAAATAAGTTATACATATGATTTGCTTAAGTATATGTGAAATAAATTTTCACAATTCTAACATTATTCAGTTTGTCTCAAATTGGTATGTACTCACTTTCCTATACGTGTCAACCACACGTGCCATTCTCCTCCCATTTCAAGCGGGGAATTCCTTGCCCAAAAAATGCACACACACAAATATATACACACACACACACTCACACACACTTACATACATACACACATAAATAAATAGGCAAAACAGTAAATTCACATGGTCATATTCATAAAACAAGAAAAATATATAATAACATTATTCCTCCACTTCTATAAATAACACAAGTAGGTACTACATACAATTGACAATTCCACACCCAAAAAAAAAAAAAAAAGAATGGCGTCTCTATCAATATTCTTGTTCATACTACTCTTCTCACTAACACTACACCATCAGAGCTCGGCTGCGGCGGCGGCGGCTCCAGCGCTCTCGTCAACAGTGCAGGAGTACCTTGGGGCCCACAACGAGGCAAGAGCGGCGGTGGGGGTGGGCCCACTGAGGTGGAGCGAGGCGCTGGCCAACATTTCTAGCCGGCTGGCCCGGTACCAGCGGAACAAGATGAGCTGCCACTTCGCCAACCTCACCAACTTCAGGTACGGCGCCAACCAGCTGTGGGCGGGCGGCGCGGCCGAGACACCGCGCATGGCGGTGGAGAAGTGGGTGGAGGAGAAGCAGTACTACAACCACGCCGACAACACGTGCGCGCCCAACCACCAGTGTGGCGTCTACACCCAGGTTGTCTGGAGGAACTCGTCTGAGGTGGGCTGTGCTCAGGCGACGTGTGTTAAGGAGAAAACTAGTCTCACTATTTGTCTTTACAATCCACCGGGCAACTATATTGGAGAGAGTCCTTACTAAGATTCTACAAAAGAAGGAAAAAAAAAAAGAAGATTCTACAAAAGAAGGAAAAAAAAATGTTGAATATATATGAAGCTTGGTGACTGATCATGACATTGCTATGGTAGATATGTCATGAGTTGAAAAGAGCTTGGAAAGGCCTAGGCTAGTAGCTAACTGGGGTTTGAATAAGAATATTATGGTTTTCGTGGGGTTGAAGGTAATTTCATGTTATATGTGTATGTTACTAGTTTTAATATCGAACTTGGAAGTAAGGAGGTTCTCTGTTGTGCAATATGCCTAAAGTGGCCTATGCTAAATAATTATATGACAACAATTTCTCATTGTTTCTTTGTTTTTTTTTTTTTTTTCCTTCAAACTCCAAATGTTCTACAACGTTTTTAACCGTTCGATCGTCAAAATTATACTACATGAAAAATTGTATGGTAATTTAATGGAGCGTGATTAAAATTAATGGTTAAAAATTGTGTCATACTTGTTAGTTATGCAAATTTTCCCATACCATAAGAAATAATTTTCTTTCCTTTCTAAAATGTTAATGAGATTATCTACAAGTTTCAGTAGTTAAAAACAATGTCAAATAAGATTGTTCTAACAAGACTCAAACTTTGATTATCTGAACATTGACGGGGTTATAAATTCGAGGGTTGCATAGATGGTTATATGTTGGTTATTTGGATTTTTACAACTTTGCTCCAAATTGACCATGGATCATGAATTTACATAAAAGAGTCGCAGAAACTAGAAAAATGGCTTAGTGTAGATGTGATCGAAGAATTGTGCTGCAAAGATTTTGAAAAATAATAATAACAGGATTATGATCTTCACTCCACCGACAAATACAACCAAATTATAACTGTATAGGAGATGCCCTTATGAGACAGCACACTGTACCTGGCCCCCCTCTACATGTATAACAGTGTAAGTGAGGCAATAATAATTGAACCCCAAAAACATACCCTCAGAAAAAAGGAAAACATTTAAAAAAAAAAAATTCTTGGCAAATAAAAATAAATATTGAACAATTAATTATATGAAAAATGTCACTTTATTGAGATTGGACCTGTGCTGTACCAATATCACCAAAGGTGGGAACACTACTATTAATTTGATCATTTTTCTTTGGATGTGTGAAAAACAGTAATGCATTTAACAGTATAGCTGTCCAGGCCAAGTACTGACTCTCTTAAATCTTCCTGGTTTAGAGCAATTTTTATATATTAGTGTGAGATCAAGTTGTTTCAATCACAATTAAATAACATTGCAAGTTGCAACAATTAAACAAGTACAAAAATATTTCCTCTTAGGTGACTTGGCATTGAAGATGGGAATTGGGCAAAAAAAAAAAAAAAAAAAAAACTGATTCTATTTACAATAATAAATGTAAAAGATTTTGACTTATTCACAGCAATCACAAATGCTTTGCATAGCATAATATTGTATAAGATAGTGGTTACTAAATGCAGATACAAAATGCCACACATTGCACTGTTCATATTTTTCTTTTTCTTTTCTTTTTTTGCCCCATATTCTACTTTGTACAAAAGAGATGTATAAAATCTTAACCCTGGGAAATATGCAGGGTATTAGAGGAGATTTCATGAAAGAACTCACTTCACTAGCTCTTTAGAGATCAAATAACGGAAGGCGAAATTGTGAGGAATCCATTCGATGGACTTGCGCGATTTTCCGCTCTGGCATATCTTAACACTCTTCTTTAGTGATTCAGGCAACGTATGTTGAATCATCTCCAAAACACCAACCGGACACAAACCTGAATCCTTCGCGAAGGACTCAACTATCTTCGGCAATAGAACTTTCTGGTCCTTGCGTACGCCAAAGGTGGCTCTTATGTACTCTTCTTTCGCAGCTTCCAGTTCTTGCAACACTCTTTTGGGTGTGTATATCCGAACCTGAAAAAAAAAAAAGAAAATAGAAAGATTCTTATGATTGCTATCGCGAAAGATTAAACAGATTGAACAGTGTTTTTAAGCTCAAAACAATCTCTTTTCTTTTTGGATAACACATTGTTTGTAAACAAATAAGATAGAAAGTAGATCAAGAAATGTCAAGTACCGCAGGATCAGAGTGGCTTCCTGAACAAAGTGCAAAATGTAAAAGGGGTTCTGGACGGTCAATTGCATATGCCTGTCGTTCATCGCCAGTCTTGAATTTTGATTTTGTGGAAAGCAACAGGCGCAGCCACTACACGCAGATGCTAATTTATGAGTCACGAGAGTCGAGAGAAAAGAGGACTATGGGCATTTAAAATGGGTAAGTTTCATTTTGTAATGATGCAAGTTTATGGCCTTAAATGAGATAATAACTTCGAGATGAAATCCAAGAATTGAGATGCACCTGTCCGGGACGAGACATACGGCATCCAAGTATAGAACTCTGTATTGTGTCTGCACTTATTGTGTGACCCCCGATGTTATATGCAGCCTGGATAGTGCAAAACATAAAACCTCAGGAAAAAGAAATGCTGCCAATTTTCTCCCTTAGTACTTCAGAGGAGACGCTCTTACCTTAAGGAGTAAAAACACCCTCTTTACATTGTTTTGTGGAATCCCATAAGCCAAAAATGCCTAGCAGGAAACATAGAACCGTTTAGACCCAACTTGTAAAAATTTGGAGGATTTAGCATTGTGAAGAATTTACTAGTGAAAGCCATTACATGCATCACCAAAGCATTGTGTATGTTGATCCAGAAAGCTAGCTTCTCATCATGGTTCAATATTCTTGGATCAACTTCCTCAAGCCGAGAGATTAGCGACCTATTACAGAAACCCTCAATAAGCATGATAATGTAAACGTCAAGAAAACATATAATTTAATCGATGGCAACGTAAGTTAACAAGGGCTCACCTGAAATTTTGAAGCAAATGATCTATGTCACCTAATTTTTGACTCTCTCTATCAATCCATGGCACTTCAACCATTGTGCTATATGGCCCGCTAAACTCCTTAAGTCCCTCGACATGGAAAGGGTTATCCAATCGTACGTCAAAAGATGAATTATTCCTGAAACCTGGACTCCACATGTCACACTGTTCTCTTGGAGAAAACCCACTGACTGATGACAAAGATGAATTAGGAGATGAAAGGCCATTATGCGTCAAAGGTGGGTCAGCAAGCTTGCAATATATAGTGGACATGCATTTGATCATATCCTCCGAAAGCTTGTTAGGTGTCTCTGGAATATGATCGGAAATGCGCGTACCAAGATGCTCCGCTAGACTGATTATGTTTGATGAAGCATTCTGAGCGTACTGTGAAAAGCAATTAAATATTAAAAATCAAGATAAATTTTCCAATATCCAAAATGTCATACATACGGATAAAAGAGTGATAGTTACATTTACAATTATTTCATCACTAAAGGGCTCCACATCCTGTTATAGAGGTATATTCTCCATTAATTTTGTCTAAGGAAAAAACGGGGCAGTACAGCTAAACTCCAGAATGACCTCTTTTCAGTAAATGTAAGCACAAATTATTATCATTGTATTAGCACTTTTTAGAGCAAATATATATATATTATCACTGTGTTATGAAATGCCGTTATCATTTGTTGGGGCAACTTACTTCTAACTAGACAAAGACAAGAGATGATGAATGGAAGTTACCTCCATCATGGACAATGGTTGGGAATGACAGTAACGCACGGCTTTAGCCGAAGACTCTCCTGGTGGAGAAGCTCTAGTTGAAAAGGCAGAACGCTGGGACAGCGACGAGTGACAACGGTGGACACTAGAATCCAAGAACTTCTCCCCCCCGATTCCATTTGATTCCTTCCATGGATTTTCAAGTGACTGACAATTAGATTGAACTGCCATACTCTCCCTTTTTGATGTAATGCCAGATTTGGAAGCATCCAAAATGCTAGTTCTAGGAGTAGTCAGAGGTGAATACAATCTTTCATCCTTGGTAGGCGGAGAAAGAGAGGATACTTGCCCATCAAATGCTTTCCGGTATAATGAGAGAAGATATTGTTCCAAATGCATCACTTCCACTTCTAATACAGCAATCTCCTTAATTAGTTCTGTAGCCGGCTGGAGTCCACATAAAATTAATGTTAGAATAGATAGTCCAAAAAAAAAAAAAAAACAAAACAAAAATAGGGGAAAAGATCATCATGAGGACCAACTTTTATCTTGCATCCAAATAGTACGTAATTCACAGTTTTGCAGTTCTAAATACTTTCTCACTTCTTTTATATAAACAGGTGTTAAAGATACGTCTTATAAAAGTAAGACAATGATATGCACAAATAGAGTTTTAACAAATTTTCTTTCTGTAACATGAGAGTTACCTTGGGCATTTCAACGTCAGCTATATTACCATGGGCAGAAGATCGGTAACCCAATGCCTTCTCCAGGGCACAACGAACCTGAAATTGGTCTTGTAACCTTTTCTCGAGCTGCAGAATCTGCATACAAGATACACAAAATGTGCATTGATGAGCAAGAACGTGGTTTAACGCCTTCACCTTAATGAAAAGAATCAAAGATTAACAAGTTAAATTCATACCTCCTGTTTCAAAGAATTACAAACTTCTTTCTTAGGTGATTGCTTTTGCTTAGATGTAACGCAGGCCTTGACGTGCCCCATATCCTGTTGCAAGACAACATTAAAAACTCAAACTTCTGTAAATTTGTTTTGAAAAGGAAATTCATTCCAATATTAGTTAAGCATGTAAAATAACTAAACAAGTCATCTTCTCTAAAAAGATGAATTCAACTTAGAACAAATGACTATGACCAAAATATCCACCCAAAGGTGATTTTGATCAAAATAGACAAGCTATATAAAGCTGCAATGACATGATATATGGCATTCAAACAATATGTCAAATATTTTAAATTTATAAGCCATTATATTCCATTAAGATCTCTAATTTCTCTTAACAATCTAAAATATATAAATGCAAGGGAGATCAAAAAATAATGGAAAAAAAAAACTAATTAAAAAAAAAGAGTTGTTATCTCACCAATTTCACACGGTTTGATGCTTCCATGGAACCAGCCAAGTTATCTTCCTCAACCTTTTTCTTATCAGGAAAGCTGCCGGTGCACAAAAAAGAGTAAAAAGAGTGAACCTTCGATCCAAGAACAAATGACTTGATGTCTATCATTCTATTTTCCCACTTCACACCAAATCTTCTTTCCTCTCCAAAACCCCAAGCTACAAAAATTCTCTTCCTCACTTCACTTGTACCATTACAAAGAAATTTCATGGCAAGAACTTGCGCTTCACCCTTTTCAAGGAAATAAAAAGAACTCCAAATTTCTCACTAAAGATCTGAACTTTGACCAGAAAAACAAAAATTAAAACCAACCCTTTTCTCCATTGGAAATAAATGAGTGGCAAAGAGGACAAACATCGAAACAGGAGTGAAACACTTGAGAAAGAAACCACACAAAATGTGAAGGTCAGAAGAGCAGAACAATTCCCATTTTCACCACTAAAACCATTTTCGGAAGTCATTCCAGTTTAAGCAGCTTCTCGTTGGGTATGCATTACCAAAATCTATAAAGGGTCTTAAGCAGAATGATTGCTAGATGACAAACACAATTATATGACTTCACAACAAAAGAAAAAAAAAAAGATACCTTTTTGAACGCTTGTGTCTGGAAATCAAACTCAGTCCAAGCATTTTACTATCTTCACCCATCTCTGAAAAAAAGTATCCCAAAAAATGGTAATTTCAGTAAAATAAAAGAAACCCCATTTCACAAAAGCTTTAAAAAACAGAGAAAAACAGAGCAATGAGCAGCAACTTACCCACAAAACGCCAGAACAAAATGAGTGCTGAAAAACAAAACTTGATAATGGAGTTGTTTAGAGAAGGAAACAAAGCAGACCCACTAGTCCAAAGAAGATCCCAAATGGGAGTTATTAAAGAAGCTCTAAACAAACTTCACAAGCCCCATTTTGTCCCTTTTTGCAATTCAGCAAAAGCAGAGTCAGACAGAGCTTCTTGGAAGTACCCACAAAGCGATCATTTGGTGCAACAGACGTCTGAACAATAGGCAGAGCTGAAATGAGTTTTGCATAAAACACACCAATATTTCGGCTGTGAAAAAGATTAGGCCTTTTGACCACTCTCTCAAGCTACTAGGCTTTAGAGAGTTTTTTTTCTTTTATTTTATTTTCTTTTCCGTGCATTAAAAGGAGGTAAGCAGATTCATCATTCATGGGACTTTTAACTTTAGTTGTAGAAAGAAGAAGGGTTTTTTTTTTTTTTTTTTTTTTTTTTTTTTTCTGTAGACTCAAACTCACGTTAGTAAATGTCAAAGCTTACCAAAGTGGACAATGTTAAGATCTAAAAGGGACAAATGAGAGGAGGATAAATAGTGGCTATGACTGTTTGTTATGTGGGGATAATATTAATATTTTATTCTTCATCAACAGAAATTTTCTAACATTCTATTTTCTTGTTGGGAAGCAAGTGGGAGTTGGTGACCGCGTGTCCACCTTTGTCCCATACTCTTATACGTATAACCCCCTAAACCGTTTGTGCCCGGCTTCATTATACTTACACTCACTATTGCATTTTTGAGTAACTTGCATTTATACTAGGGGTGGCCATTCAAGTTGGCGGGTCGTGTTTGTGTCGTATTGACTCCTTTAGTTGACACGAATAGATCTGATATGAACACGACTCGTTTATTAATCGTATTGAAATACAAAATCCAAACACGACCCGTTTATTAGCGGGTTTACACGACACAACACGGATAACCCGTTTATTAAACAGGTCATAAACGTGTCGTGTTAACCTATTAATTACCTGTAAACCCGTTTATAAAATGGGTGATAAATAGGTCGTGTTAACCTATTTCTAAACCTATTTTTTAACTTGTTTATAAAATGAGTAATAAACGGATTGTGTATTTGTATTACCTAAATATGATACGTTTAATAGACGGGTTATGGCGGGTCAATTGCAGGTTGGCGGGTCAATCTGAAAATGACACGTTATTTAATCGTGTTTCACGGGTTCGACCTCATTTTGACTCATACCTATTTATGATAAACACAAACCCGTTAATTTCGTGCGAATTTCGAGTTGTATCATTGTGTCACTACCTGGATTGCCAGCCCTAATTTATAGTTCATTACGAGTCACAAAATAATGTTACGTTACTTTTCATTTGTGTACATGAAATAAAAAGAGAAAATACACCACACCACGACGGTTTGAGTCGGGATGTGAGATACACTTCAGACTCTTGACTCAATCCTGATTGGAAAATTTTTTTTTTTTGGAGGACTGATCAGAATGTTTAGTACTGTTCATGAATGGAAAAAATAATATTATCGCAAGTATTGGCGATTAAAATTTTCTATGCTGGATTGTATGTGGTCTTGTATAGTTTAATGTACATGACCTCCGCAACCATATGAGCAACAATTCCCTTATCCTCGGTATGCATTTTGAGTTACTTGTAATTAGGGTTCATAAACCTTACTTTAGTATGTTAGGAAACTACTAATCATCACCATTAATAGGTTAGTCAAAGTTTGCTACCTTTCGAGCCTTTGACATGTAAATCCATAATCACTCAAAACCTACCACTCTCGTTGTGTTGTGTTGTGTGGTGTCATATTCTTGTACAATAGCCTTTGAATTTGTGTTTGCTCAAAGTACAAATGAACAGTCTTAAGTCAAAGGTTTCAGGGCCAGAGTCAGGGTCCGAAAATTTGTGAACCCACATGAAATAAGCGAATTATAGGCCCGTTCATTTCACCGATTCGAGTTTTCAGTTTTAAGTTTCTACAGTAAAAAGTTCTCAGAAAATGTCACATCTAACTTTTTCTGCTACAGTGAAAAGTTCTCAGAAAATGTCACATCTCAGTTCGAATTAAAAACTCGAATCTACAAAGTGAACGAGACTTAGTGTTCTTTGATTTTGACGACTTCAATCAAGTATTTGATTTGATACACCTACCATATGTACCATTTAACCTCCAGCAATTAAAAAAATAAGCCTCGTAAAAGCATTTTGTTTTCACTAAAAAAAAATAAAATGTTGGCCCTTTGGAAAGATTTTCCAGCTCAAAATCTTTGACAATAAGAACCTTTTTTCCCCCCCCTCGCAAATGGTGGTGGTCCTTTTGTCACTTTCTTCTATCATATGTGACAAGGATGAGTGTTTTTTCTTTCGTATGTAAAAAAAAAAAAAAAAATTTCTACTATAGATGAATTTGCTTAGGGAACAAAATGAAATTTTGTCATGGTCTATGTGATGTTACAAGCAAGTCCACACAGATTAAACTCATTTTGAGCAAAGATCTAAAATGGGGTTTTGCTTAACTGTTGCTTTGCTAAAGCAATAAAAGTGAGTTAAACCTCAAAAGGGATGAAAGGTAAAGAATAAAGGAGACATTGGATGCTTGAAAGGAAATGAAGATTTGTGAGCTTTCTCTTTGTCTAAATCACTTTTTTTTTTTGGGAAATTAGGAGATGCCCAAATTGTCCTTCAGTATCCAAGAGACTATTGTTTGTCACAGAATCCCCACAATAAAAAAATGCTTATGAGCTTGACCTTTTCCAAGACCAATACAAAAGAAAAAAAGATAGTAGAAGGGTAAGGTAAGGTGGCCAGGTTCTCCTTTTGTCGTCATATTCAGCTACTGAGCTAAACATATACATACATACATATATATACATACATATGTATTCATATATGATATAGAAAAAGTACAGGAAAACAAAAAAAAGAAAAGGTTCTTTTTTCCAATGCACAGATAAAAGAGAGATAGAGAGGAAAAGTATTTGTTTTTGTTACAAACTTTTCATTGAGTAGTAGTTTATTTGTGTTACCTTTTATCTTGAGATTGCAGAGTAAAGTTCAAAAGCTTATTGTGACCACATGAGTGTTGGGGAGTATTGTAGGTTTATAGGATTTTAGAAGTGCTTTTTTATGTTGATCATGTGAAACAATATATATAAAGAAAAAAATTATATCAAAACATGTCAGCAATATTATGTGCACCAATTGAGAAATGATTTTCCGCATCTTGGACTGAAGAAAGAACCCCATATCATTGGCAATTGATGACAAAAGTAATGGCCACACCTAATATGATAATGACTAAATGAAGAGATCTTTAATAAATTCATTTATATATGTGTTTTATGTAACCATTTTTAATCTTATCTTCCACAGTGAAGCTCCATTTGGTTTCTAGGGTAGACAAGTTTAATGGCTATTTTTGGATCTATTTGATATAGTTTAAAATTAAGGGTTGAAATTTTTAGTCCCATTTATAAGCAAATGAATCTTCTCTTTTATCTTATTATCCAAGTTTTTGTACAAGTCAGATGTGCAGTTTTTCAATGCCAAAAATATCAGAATACCGAGAAGATTTTTTTTTTTTTCTTTTTCAATTTTCAAATGAAACTGACAGACATGCTTCATAGAATAATGAAACTTAGAGAGTTGCAATCTTAATTATATCCTAATTATATTTGAGGATTGCAAAAAAAGACATCCTCATTTCAAGGATCAAAATAACACACAGAGTTCCATGCACTGATTATACAGTTTTTTCCTCTTTCCTTTTATTTCTCTTTTTTTTCTATGACATTATATTATGTTGTATACACACATTTCTCGGTCTGTTGAGTTGAAATCAAGAAAATTTATGGCTATAAAAAACTTCAGTTCATTAAAAAATAGGTGGTGGATATGATAATTCTGATATGTTTACCATACACACTGTTCTGAAATTTAAATTACTGATTTAAATCAAGAGTGGAATATTATTATGATTTCAATAACTCCGATACAATAGCTGCAATACATATATATTTTCAAGATGACAAGCACATTTTTCTAGTTGAAACGCTAAAAGAAGACAAAATTGTATTGGATACCAAACAAATGTTTATTTAAGAGAAACACTCTTTAGTTGTTCTTTAAACAATTCCAAAGAAAACTGGTACTACTAAATTGTATCATGCAATATTTGCTTTTGTGGCTTTTAGTACTACGTGTCACTTATTTTGTTTTATGCGAGACAATATTTTTCACCATATTTGAACGTTGTTTCTTCAACCAAAAACTAATTTGTCAAAACTGATCAAACTGGAAAAAAACCAACTTCATCAGATAAGCTAAGTGCAAAGAAAAGGGTTATTTTATGTGCACTCAGACAAGTATTGTAAGCATTCATATTGATGAACATTTTTTTTCCCTTTCTTTTTTTGACTAGAACAAGAGAAGCTAAGTGCAAATTGCCAAAAGGAAAAGGACTTTTCAAGGGCCTAGCTAGTATTTTTGGGAAGATGAAAATAGGGAAAAATAAATAAAAAAAATAGAAGCAGAATCTTAGTGAGAGCTTCTTGGTCTGATAGATGCCTCTGGAGTCTGGCTTATGGATCATCTCTCACGAGTGGTGACTATTTGTTCTGTTAGTGCCTCGAGTTGGTAAATAATCTATATCCACAAAAGGTGTCCTCTAGCCGTATGAGAGAGAAGGAGAGAGAGACTTTTTCATTTTGTTTTGGATTAATTTCACAAATAATCTCTACTCTCAATCTTATTTTAGTTTATGTCTTTTAAAATGTCTTACCGTTGATTTATGAGGTTTTATTTTGTTTTAGTTTTAATCTTTTTATTAACTATGTATTAAATATTTAATAGAAATTGTGAAAGTTAAGAACCAATATTAGAAACATTTAAAGTTTAAAGACTAAAACAATATGAAAAATAAAAGTTTTTTTTCCACAAATAATCTATTTAATTTATATAAATTATGTCAAATATTTAACACTCGGTCAACAAAAAAACCAAAATTAAAATAGAATAAAACTTTAAAGACTAACTTAAAACATTTTAAAAGTCATAAACAAAAATAAAACTGAAGATCAAGGATCACTCGTGAAATTAATCCTTTTATTTTTTAATTTTG